AATATTATGCTTTTCAGAAAGAAATTCAGGAGTCATAATTTATGTACCTGTGCTGAACATGTGAGTGTTACTTCTTTCCAAGTCGTACACATCATTATATTAATGTGTGTTATGGATTGTCTAAACTAGATTTTTTTTGTATACAATAGTCTTTGTCCATGTTATTATTCTAAATTTATGACCATTGTTTCCATTGTATTGTACTCTCATAAGGTACATATTAGTCATCATTGCAACTAAAGGTTGCCTTGATTTCACCAGAGAGTTTTAATTCGTCTCTACTATCCAGATACTGGAATTTTGTAGTGAGAAGCACAATTTATATTTGCAAATTGGAATTATATGATTATTATTGTAGACTTATTATTAGTTCTTCACTTCTTCCTAATATTTGAGTTTCATTTTAAATGTATTGATCAAAATTATATGGTCTCATGTAGTTGGAGCTTAGTTCTCAAGTAGTTGGCAGGAAGGATGCATCAAGAAGCGCTTTTGACATTTGGAAAGAGGTAATAAATCTTGTTCCTTGGTTATCACTTTTGTAAAATACACGCCTTTTGAAGATCTTGCTCGTTGTTTATTTTAAAAATTGGTCACAGCCCTTTGTATTGTGGGGTTTAATGTTTCACCTTTCATTCTATAGATTTTCCAAAAGAGGAAAGCCAAAAATGAGAGGAAATACAACACTTCGTTTCGCCACATCTCTAATGATTTTGAATCTCTTCACTCTTTAATATCTAATAGGTAGGTCAAATTCCTGATATTTCTATCATTGTTTGAAATGATAATGTGATGCATTGTGCATAACTATTTCAATGTAAAATTTCTCCCAGGGGTGACTTTGACTTAATTTTTGATGGAATCCATGAGAATGTTTTGCATCTCCGATACCATGACCCTATGATGCAAACAAGTGTATGTTTCTAAAATTTATAGCATCTTAGTAGTTTTTGTTCCAAAATGATCCAAGTTTTTGCTCCAAAGTGATCCAAGCCTTATGTTTGCAGTCATTAACTTGCAGGCCAAGTCCCTGGATATTCTCGGTGATTCTGACATAATTCATCAATACACTATGCGTACACAACACATGCCCCTTCTAGGTAGATTCTGAGCTATCCTAACTGCATTTGCTTTATATGATCTTTTTCTTTATTCAATTTTCATATTTATATTCTGCAGCTTATCAGCCTTCATTTGCTATTGCTATTCACGGGCTAGTGGCTCAGGTTGAAAGGCCAAACATTGAATGGCCCAAGTCATTTCACAGGTTTACTTTTGGTTTCTCATTAGCTTGATTTCTATTGTTGAATATTATACTCTGCACTTCACTAGCTATCTACGTGGTGTTGCAACATATTGTTGGCTTTTTTTGTTTTGTTTTGCACTTGTAGATATCGGACTTCATCAATAGAAAAGATGGAAACATTCCATTTGTGGCACAACAAGATGACACCTTTCATATCTAGACATCTGTCGACCAGATCTTTTGTGGAAGACTTGATTTCTCCTTTGTTACATATTCTATCACCGCCAACACTAAAACCGGTAGTTATCATACTTCTCCACTTACAAAGTTACAATATGAACTAGGAGGGTCTATTTTAGAGATGACAGCATTTGTAACTACTTACTTTAGGCTGTAAGCTGATGTGAACAGGAAATGACAATGCCTCTATTTCAGGTATCTTTGCATTTACTGTCAGAGAAGGACAAGAGAGATCTGGCTCAGCTGGTGGATACAATGGTGTCATATGCAATAACTTATAAGAACATAAAATCGGATCCTTCATTAGGGCCCATGAAACACGATCATGCTTTAGATTCTTCAATGCTTTCTTTTGAACCCCCTATTGCTGGTTTCATAAACTTCAAGGTTTGTTTTGAGTTTTCCTAATTTGCTTTTAGTTCTCATTAGACTTTTTTAACCAGGAAACTTCTGTTATAATTAGTGTATTATTTTTGTCATTTTGACAGGGCTATGTTTCATGCCATTTTATGCTTGCTTCTGCTATGAAGTCAGTTTTAGTACACGAGGTGAGTCCATAAGTTGTAGCTGTGGTGCTGATAAGCTAGTTTGTTTGTAGTTTGTATAGAATCATTACTTTCTCTAAGCTCATATTTTAATACTCCCTCCGTATTTGAATGTTCTCTACAATAGGTTTGGGCACAAGATTTAAGGGTAAAATAGTAGGGGTAATGAATAGTGTGGAAAAAGTAGGAGAGAGGGTGAAAAAGTATGAAAGAGAAGATAAAAAGTAGAAAAAGTAAGGGTAATTGAGTATTTTTAAAGGAAAAACTTGCCAAAAAAGGAAAGTGTAGCAAACTTTTAAATACATCCAAAAAAGCAAAGTGTAGCAAACATTAAAATACGGAGGGAGTAGTTATTTGGGTTCTTTTTCATGTGCAAGTGTGAACTAATATTCTTCTAGTTTAGTACAGGGATGTCTGTAGTTTTGCGTCTTGAATATACTTTAGGGGGCTCGTAATGCATGTGTTATATACATCTTATAGATTCTGTTGCATTGATGTTTGATTTATATGTACATTTTTGGAAATAATTTTAATCTGTATCCACATGTACTTCAAAATAAGGTTGAGAAGCAAAAGATTTTGCAAAGCAGCCGAAGCCAACTCGGGCATCCTACAGATTCTTTTATGGATGAAAAACATCCGGCAATTAGAAGCACGAATACTAGTTTAGTCCCTTCTAGGTTTCATTCAATGAATACTTCAGCTGACAAAGATCCAAGTGTAAGTAGTACCTCTCATATCCAAAAGATGAGTGAGCTATCTGCATCTTCTAGTCCTTCAGCTACAGAAGTAAATGAAGTTGCTCCAGCTAAAGCGAGTTCTGAAAAAAAGAAACCTACAAAAGGATCTTTCAATTTTTTTGACAGGTATTTATGCATTTGGATTGAACTTTAAGCTTCATTTTAAGAGAAATCACTTTTCATCTCCTCAATCCTGGTTATTCAGAATCTTACCAAAACGCTAAAAACTTACAAAGTTGATTCTAAATTTATAATAATCAGAAACACAATTTATGGATGCCTGTTGTGCATAAAATATAAGACAGAATGTGGAGCGAATTATATAATGAACAAAACCATTCAAAATAAAAATGAATCTTTCCCTAGACTTATTCAGTCGCTCATCATGGACATTCACCAAAGGGCAATGCTACTAACTCATTTTTTTACTTGTTTTTAAAATTCTAGATTCAAAAAGCTGAATAGCAAAGGATCTCAGGACATTAATTCTGCTAATCAAGGACCAACAGAGAGGGACTCACGGCCCTTATTGTTTAAGTTTAATGAGGTACTATGAATTGAAACTAGGATGAGCTCACTGGCCATGCGATGATTCTTGTCTTTCATGTTGCATATCTATTACCTTCATTTATAAAAACGAGCATGAAATGGAACACATCATATAAATCAGCAAGCTAGAGAAGCTTGTTGCAGATTGTGCACTTCAAAAGTGATGATCAAGGTTTGGTGCAAACATGATAAAAAAGACATTCCTATAACAAATGATTTATTTTATTGGTCTTGTCTAATCATTATCTTATGATGCTTTAAGTTTGATAACATTGTAGATTTCGTAAGATTTTCGCACCAATTCGGAGGGCCTATGCATATCACATAATTGGGTAGTGTGCGGGTCTGGACTTCAAAGCTTACCACCCTACTTCCACCCGCTCCGCTCTGCATCTACCTTGTTCCGTGCCCATTTCCTGCTCTATTTCCGCATCCATTAACTCCGCCATAATATAATCTAATTTTTAAATTTATTGATTTCTTTATGTACTTTTCATTAGAATGACATCATTTTCTTCATTAGAATGACAGGCTGCCTATCTAGAGTCAAAACTAGAGGTAGACGGGTATTCGCGAATTTGGTGGATGTGGGGTTGGATTTGGGAACCTACCCGCCTGAGCAGGTGCATATTCGGAAATTGTATCCCTCCATGGGTTGCGGATGGCGCTAGAAATAGTTTAATTAGATGGGTGTGTGGAGGGCGTATCCTTACCTGCCCCATCCCACCTGTTTGCCACCCCTTGTAAATCATAGCAATTTAACAAGTTGAAGTATACGTGATATGTTGATCTTGTCTAAGGTGTACTCAAAGGACTTCAGTTGTTTTGTAATATGCTAGAGAAATATTTTTCCATTTTATTTAAGCTAGTGAGTATCATGCTACTACAAAAAAGTTTAGTCAAAAAATGGTTAACTTGTCCGGATCATCTGGCTATTCAGGATACTCATTTACTTATATTAATAATACAAATATTTTGGCATTTTGCAGGGTTTCACAAATGCAGTCAAGAGACCTGTCCGGATACAAGAATTTCTTCTCTGATTTTAGGTGTTTATGCAAATGATCATCTAAGTCACCAGCCAACCAGTTTTTTTTCAACAATCAATAACATCAGAAATTAATTTTCCTTTGCAGCAAAATTTGTAGTCATCCTAATGAGAAGTGAGAACTAGTATTGACATTCTGAATGACATTGTGATGTCTGCTGCTTGGGGCCGTATGTAGCAAAGGTGTGAACGGAAGGTCTGGCAAAAGTTTTGTTATATTGATGCATCCCTCATATCACAAATATCTGTTACTTGTGAACTTTTAGCACATTTAAAAGTGGCCTTGTATTTATCAATACAACTTAGCTTAGGTTATCAAATGAAAGATGCAAAGTATAACAGATAGATGTAGGACCAGCATAGGAAATCAGAGATATTACTGATTACTCTATCCTCTTGTTAATCTTGTATTACTATAAACTTTGTTGAGTTATCCACGTATCATATCTCCTTTACAATAATACAAGTTTGGCAGTTTGGCTCCATAGTTCCTAATTCCCATTCATGAAATCCTAGATTTGCTAAATGCTTACATATAATGTTGAGAATGAATCAGCATATATGTACACAAGTGTTTGTCTCCTGTACATTTCAATTTCATCAAATCTTTTCTGATGAAATCTCAAAAAGAATAAATTACCTACTAATTGTACATAAAATACATACTTCATAAAAAAAGATGACACAATCTACTCTCCTTCGCTTGCTTGAGGGCTTCGAGGAGGATTGATCAAAATCCACAGAAGGGAGAGTGTGATGGAAAGCAGACCTGTCCAGACATAAACAATAGTGGGGACTTTTCCCTTTCTTCCCATCAGCCCCTTGGCAAATGGATATAGATGTGCGAGCACCCAGAAGCTGAAGAACGCCCCACCAAACAGCTTATTCCATTGAGGAATCACACTGTATATTTGCCTGGAGCACCCAATTACAAGAGCTACAATGTTCACCACCAAGATTGTCAACGGCATGATGAAGAGGCTAGTCCACTTAACGAGGTACAACTCTGCATATATGTCATCTTCATCCTCTGCTGCGGACTTAGAGGTGAGTGTGAATGAGATCTCTATGCCAGCAATGACCTTCAACAGCCCTTGCATCACGGCCACCAAGTGAGCACTTGTCCCACCTATTAGCCAAAACTGTTCATTTCTCCAGAGCTCCTCTAGCCCTATTCTGGCCCACTTCACTTCTAGAAGGGATATAAGCATGAGTGTGATGGTGATGGTGAGGAGATACAGGAGGAACTCAGTGTTCAAGGATTGCACAATGAACATGCCGCTAAAGTTGCACAATGCTGGAATGAAGCAGTAGACGACTAGGAAGATGGATGTGAAGGGGTATACGGCGACGTTGAAGTAGGCAATCCGTTGGAGAAACTTGAGTCGTCGGGTCGCCAAAGCTGGGTTGTTTCGAGAGAAGAAGATCTCGACTGACCCGGTCGCCCACCGGAGGACTTGATGCAGACGGTCGGTGAGATTGATTGGAGCCGTCCCTCGAAAAGCATCACGCTTTGTGATGCAGTACACAGACCGCCATCCACGGTTGTGCATGCGGTAACCGGTCACCACGTCCTCCGTCACTGACCCGTAAATCCAACCAATCCGCTCTCCCCATTCGGTCTTATCCTCGTACCAACAAGAGACGACTGCAATGGCCTCTGCTACGGTGGGGGCGTCGAGGGGAGGCCGGGGAGCAAGCAAGGCCCCTGGGGAGCGCCCGTTCTTCACAGAGATGTGATCGGCAAGTGGTCTTCCTTGAAACTCCGCTACAGCGATTGACTCAGTGAACATGGCGGAATTCCCAAACCTCTTCGGCAAGGTCAAGTCCGGATGGTGGTCATCTGTTAGGGGTTGTGTATCCTCATCATCTCCTCCATGGTGGTGGTTGTGAGCCCTCATCTTGTACTGTCCGAACATCCCCCAATACTCTCTCGGTCGTGGCGGGTTGAACCCATAGAGCGCATAGCGTCTGAACATGCAACCAGTTCCCACGTACACTGGACCTTGGAGACCATCCAACGCTCTCATGTTTCCTAAATTTACACGTCAACAAATTCTATTACATACGTTTCTCTGCGAAACAATAAGTAACTATGTACACACACATATATAGGTTTACCATCAAAGAAGACGGTGTTGTGATTGGCATATCTATCAGAGGGATCAATTCCTTCAAATCTTTGTGGGAATTGGATGTAACAAATGCGGTCACCGCCACGATCCATCATGTAACACATGCCTTCACGAATAGCAAGGGAATTGTAAACGTAATGGTCACAATCCAAGTTGAGGATAAAGGGTCCATTGGAAAGAATCGCAGATGCTCTAACCAAGGCATTCATGGCCCCTGCCTTCTTATTGTGGTCGTAGCCTGGGCGTTTCTCTCGTGAAACATATGCAAACATGGGAAGTCGGGTGTCGATGTCGGTAAAGTCTAGACTCTTTTCGTCTGCGTGTCCCATTACAGGGTCATGCTCCGGCACCTTGCTCATTATCTGCAAAATCCCGGCATGATCTCCCTTTTTGTGATCAATTGTTGGTTCAAACCATGTACCCGGCCAGTGTGTGGCATCAGCCATCCACGTGGCATTAGTGAAGTTGATGGTCTCACCTGGAGGAATCACGCCACCGTTTTTCTCCTTCACTGCCATCTTCTCCTTCATCTCTTCCTTCTTGTTGTGCGTGTCACACCTTTTCTTTATAACTTCTGGCAAACCATTGATTCTGACTTTGAATTCATCATACTCCCTCTTGATCCAACGCCGATCCTTCACAAAATCTAGACGCTTCTTGTCCTTAGTAGGATCCCTTTTCTGATTGAAATAACTGTCTGGATTCCTAGGTTCAATTTCGTGTTTTCGACAGAATGGCACCCAAATCTGTGATAATGATAATAATAACATTAATAATAGCACCAACTAGTTATTAGCAATTGTTTCAACAAATGACACAAATGAAAGAACATACACAAATGACATAAGATGAACAATAATAAAAACAATAATTTCAGACCTATAAAGTACAAACATACCCGAGCAAATTCGACAGCCTCAGCCATGGCCTCAAACGTAAGGATGGCGCCGCCATCATCAGAGATGTAAATGGAGAGCTTTTCAACGGGATACTCGCAGGCCATGATAGAAAGGATGGTGTTGGCGGTGACAAGGGGCGGCTCTTTGTCAGGGTCGGCGGTGGAAATGAAGACATCGACTCCGGGGAGATCGGAGCGGCCTTCCGGGTTAGACGGAGACGGGGTCTCGAACTTGTCCTTCAAAGCTGCCAAGTCGGCGGCTCGGTCTATGGGATTGATTTTGGGCAATATGTCAAGAAGCCATGAAAAGGCAAACCATACTTCGCACACAATGGATATTCCCCATAACCACATGGCATCTTGGTTTGGGTTCTGAAATCGCCATACCAGGAACATGAATAGACCTACTAGCCGGATCACGATCAGCAATCTGTCAATTTAATTCTCTTCAGTTCTTGAGCTACTTTTTGTCATTTATTTAATTTAGTGTCCCTTTGATAACTTTTTTTTGTTGTTGAAAGATTACTTTTTTTTACTTATTCATTGTACATCATCTAGTTTTAGTTTTTACAGATAATTAAAGTTTTCAATTTCCAGTGCTAAATTGTGTGATGGTCAAAATTAAGTAATTACAAAGATTATCTGTTTACTTTGTAGAGAGGTCGGTTTACTTGAATTTGTAGATGGACCCGTTTAGTTTTATTGAAAAATGGAATTAATACAACTCATCATAAAATGAAAAGTTGAACATACTATTTTGAGAAACCTTGTGAGGTACATTTTTTGTTTTTGTTTTTGTATTTTTTTGTGTGTACCTGTAGGGGCTAATGATTCCGCCGGAAATCTGTACTTTCCGAGTAATCGGTTTCCATGGTTTGTCCATGAAGTCAGATATGGACATTCCGGTATCTTGATCATATGAATCCTCGTCCTGCCAATACGCATTTCCAATTCCATACTTACCTTTGGTTTCAAATAGCCAACGATTATGATCAAAGTCTCCTGTTTGACTTCTCAACAACATTGATTTGTTATTATTTCGGCTCATCATCACCGACATCCTTCGCTCCATTTTCCCATTGATGTCATCACCCCTTCCTCCGCCCTCATCCTCTCCCCCACGTTGCGGCGATGGCTCGTTGTGGTATCTTGAACCAGGATCACCCGTTTTCTCCCCATTGCCGACGTTCACATTGCGACCGCCCGGTTGGTTATCCGGTGTTGGCGGCATCATCACTGTGTAATTCATGTAGTCGTTTTGTGCCGATGTCGAGTAGTCTGCGGAAAGCTCTATGTCCTCATCACGGGAGAGGCTCACCACTCGGCCGCTCGACGTCCGTCGTGCGAATTTCACTCCTTGGGGAGGGCGGCTCGTGCTGGAGCCACTTTCGGATGCCTTTCTTGGGTTCGTCGAAGAAGTCGCCATTCGTTATGTGGCCCAATTTGTCTAATCGTTTTAATTTTTTCCTTCAAAGGGTTAATTTTTTCTATATTCATTACCTATGTTCGTGGGCGTTCATGTCTTCCAAGAAAGTTGGAAGAATCATGTTATTATCGAAGAACATATCTACACTAATTCATGAAAGAAAAACATTGAAGAAATTAAACCAAGCAAAAGTATTCTCTTGTCAAGATGGTAGTTCAATTCATTGATTTTCACAACACGATTCACAATGTTTCACATTTCACGCTTGGCCTCTCTTTTCAATTTAACAAAAAACGAATAAATAATCAAATTAGAAGGAATTGTTGATATAAATATTTATTGACATGCAACATATATCTGCATGCGGTCGAAATTGCTTACACGTAAGTAAGGCGTAAGTTTATTAAAGCAACCAAGAAATTCTCTACGATTATATTAGCACTACATCTATTCAAGAAAAATATAAATCCAATCATAAGGAAAAAATAGGAACTACCCTGAATAACATTAAAAAACTACACCTAATTAACTTTATAAATACAAAATGTTCTGTTTTGAGTATTTTCAATATGGTCTATACAAATAATAAGGGCAATAATATTAGTCGATAGTCCCTCTGTTCCGATTGTCCCATCTTTTTTTTGCTCTGTTCCACTATGATTATCTCATATCAAACTTGGTAAGGAGTGGTCGTTTCTAACTCATTCTTACTTTATCAATTCAATATCAACCATATAAATGCACTCTTCGCAATAACCTTGCTATCTCCTCATGTTCAAATATTAGTAGGACGGAGGTAGTATATCTGTAATAATAACCTCTATTGATGCCACCTGTTTTATGGCATGTATATATGCTTATGATAACTTCTAGAAATTCTTTTAGAATGTTTACAATTCATATGCATTTACTGCATAACATTACATACCAAACATTAACTCCACAAAAATGAAAAAAAAACTTATGCATCTAACTCCACATTTAACTCAGTGGAGGCACATTCTGTTTTCAACTTATTTAAAAGATTCTTGCAAGCCAATTTCTTGGCTGCATCTTTGTTTGGAGCTGAGCAAATGTCACTATATATAGTGCCATTTACATCAACCTCCATTGTGATGAATGAGACTCCATCTTTAGGAGTAACTGATGGCTTCCTCATGATATAACCTCTCCCTCTGCAAAACTCATGCAGCTCTCTTACTGGATGGAGAGTCACTGTTTCTGGTGTAACAATGGGCTCTAGAAGAGGAAGTATGCTTTCAGTCACTTTGTCTTCATTGAAACATGAATCAATTAGGATTGCCCCTGCAAGTGACTCAATAATATCTCCAAGAACCTGTCATCAAGAAATTATAAAAATATATAAGATATAAATTAAGATGGGAATATGGGATAGCCGGATAGGAGTATCATATAGAAGTCTAGATGATGGTTGTGGTGCTCTATTTCAACCTTAAGCGGATCGTGCCCCTCGTTTTAGTTTAATAGGCTCTAATACTATATTAAGACTTCAGAGTTATACTTAAATTTCATGCAAATAGATAAGGAGATTAGAACAATGCCTTATATGTGAGTTTGTATCTTTGTCTTTGGTCAATGTGGAATGTCTTACCAACTATTATTCTTAGGCCCCTATCAATGGCATGAGGTACTTCAAAATTTGAAATTCAGTAATGAACTTTAACATACCTTAGGAAAACTTATATCTGAGCTCCATCCAAAAGTTGTGGAAATACACAACTTCTCAACACTCTCAACAGTGTTTGTTATATGCTTTTGAAGGTCTGTGGAAAAATAGAGAATTTGCTTCTGTAACCCAAACTTGACAGAACATAAAGCATAACAATCGTTGTTCACCGAACACGACCTCATGTCAGTCAAAAGACCAGGAGTCAGTCCAGGATACTTATTGTAGAGGTGAACTGTGACTATATAATCAATGATGGCATCCCCGATGAATTCCAGGCGCTACACAATGTATAACAAAAACAACTCAAAAAGATCCCATAAAATGAAAGATGATATTTGGCAGATATGAGCATATTAACTAATTACCTGATAGCATCGTGGGATTTCGGATTGCATGAAGGAACCATGAGTGAATGCTTCAACAAGGAGAGACGGATCACGGAATTTGTACTTTATCAAGCTCTCAATATACCGCACATTAACAAACTTCTCGGCATTGATAGGGAAGTGTCTTTCTATGGGAGTTTTGGCATAATACATGTCCAAACCAAGCCAAACCATAAACGAGAGTGCTGCTAGTTCACCAGAAGTACTAACATATGCTCCAATAAGGGCCTCAGCAATGTCTGCAACTCTCTTACTCTTGATTTTTCTACCTCCCATGTTGTACACTTTTCTCTTGGGAGATATCACTTCCACGTCAAGCGACTTGTCTACCGAAGTGTCTCCAGGAATGGCCCATGTTTTTGGATCAAATGGTTCAGTACGGATAAATCCCTAAATGTTATGGGCATGGAACAACCAAATGAATTTATAGATAACCACTAAAATGTATGGAAAGTGACTCTGAGAACTACTAAGATCAATAAAATTATTACCGGAATTTTTCTATCACATGCCAGCTTGCACAAAGCATCATTGGAAACCATTTTTTCCTTTTTCAAACTAAGAAGCCCCTCATGGTCATTTTGATAAGTAGTGAATAGGTGCCGACTTGCAGCATATTTTAGAAAAGAGTCTCCCAAAGTCTCTAATGACTCCATGTGAAAATTTTCTTGGCACTTCTTTGTTGTTATTGCTTCCAAAATCTAACAAATACCAATAAAGAAGTAATTAACAACACATAGTCATCATGACTGCAACCTTACTAAATATGTGATTAGCAATGTAAACTATTCTGATTAAAGATAGTTTACATCCCAATATAATGTTTTCCCTCATGTGCATAAATTGCTACACTGATTATGAAATTCAAGGAAAAAATATAATGGCTGCAAAAGCAAACCAGTAACTTACCTTAGTGGTGTGTATTGAAACGCTTTGCGCACAATGATCCATATGCAATCTTTTCAGACTCCTAGCTAACAACAAGGACTCTATCCGGTGGATGATTGATGGGAGATAAGAGAAAGAATAATATAAACCATGTGGAATTGGAGACATTAATATAGAACAAAGCTCCGGAGGCAACTGTAGCGAAGCGCCACTTGGTTCTACATATAACAATGTGTAGAGCAAATCAAGTAAAGTTTAATAAATCAATTTATCTAAGCAACATTGTTATATAGAAATAGTAAACCAAGCAACATCTAAACAACAACAATAAAATTATAACTACACAAAATAATGTGGAAAGATGTCAACCTTTTCCTTTCTCGGCACTGCTCTTTTTAAGGTAATTTCGCATCTTAGGTAAATATTTTGCATTAAGAAGTGCTTCTCTCTCATAGACTAAGTCGATCTCATGCCTGTAATAGGGTTTAGTTTCATAATCCTTTATCAGTAGTAACAAATAAACATTCATTACTCGCTCCGTCCAAAAACAAAGAGTCATGCTTGTAATGCTGTTTTAGTATTAAAAACATGACTCATTGTTAAGGATGGAAGTAGTTTTTTTTTGTCTTTGTATTTTCAGAGGCAATATTACCAACATACCGACTTTTGAAGTACTCTTTGTAACTCATGGACTCTCCTTTTCTTAGCTCCAAAATTGAGTTAGCATCCAAATCATGCAAAATCCCAGTAACACAATACAAAGTATCGTTGTGCGGAGTACAAACAAGAGAATTTTCCAACCTGCAGCTATATACCAAACCACTCTTGGTATTCACAAGCTTACAATCATCCATAGATTGAGATAAGCAGTTTGTATGGTTATCCTCACGGTTTGTGGATGGATATATTATAGAATCAAGAAAGCTCCAGTTAATTGAAGCTTCATTATTACAACCAATGGTCGGAAGAAGAAGATAATCAAAACTTGTAGAGTCCATCACATTACAATAGCCATCTAAACTTTCAGCCAGTTTACTTAAATCCTTGCGAACAAGAGCTCGTAAAAGAACGACTTGAAATATCTGACACCTATGTATCTGGAAATTAAGATCATTGACACATAAATCTTACTTAGCCTACATACATTTTTAAATTTGTTTTCTTAAAAGTTTTCTAGATAAGTAGAGATATACTTACCATTTCAGAAGTTAGCTTAACTTCTCTAAGATACATCAATTCTTCTTCCTTGGTGTTCCCGTCAACGTTTAGTTCAAAAATCAACTTCTCATCATCAACTTCTAGCTTTGTCTTAACAGCAAGGATGACATTTTGAAACTGAGTATCACTATAAGTGTAGTGCTGCAACTCAATAAGGTAACAATAGAACACTGTTTCAGGATCATTGCCACGACAACTGATCAGCTCAGGCGGGAAATACCTTGCATGCTCATCAATGTAATCCACAAGCTCTGCGCATAAGTAAGTAGATGATTATAAACTCTTCAACGATATTTCCCCAGTAAGCATCAAAGGGTGCAAGTTCAGATTTATTGAGAATACAAAATAGTTCTTTCCACTATAGTCCTCTAACTTTTGTGGCAAGTGGGCATGTCGCTTTTGGTATCTGCGTTTGAACTTTTCCACTTGTAGTCCTCTGATTATTGTAATAAAGACATTTTTTGTATGTTTACTTTGACTATTGTGACAATGACACTTTTTGTGCCCATCTTCCATTTTTTTTCTACAAAAATTAGTATGATGAAAAGTGTCACAGTCATTACAATTAAAGGATAAAAAGTGTCAATGTCAGTATAGTTTGAGAAGAAAAAATTAAAGTTCAAAGACATGTAGGCTGTAGCAAAAGTGTTTGTCATAATAATAAAGGACTAAAAGTGAAACAATTTATAGACCAATGCACACACACTTAAAGTTGAAAGAACTCAGACAAGAAATTAGGATGCCAATTTTGGTAATCACCTAATTCTTGGATGTCTTCTTTTTCCTCCATGATATCTGGTACAAGATTATTTGTCAAGGCACCAACTTGATGCAGTTGTTTGCAAGCTTCTAAACATGCTAATTGCTTCACAATTTTGATATCTCCCACAACCGTAACTTTTTGGATTTGGCAACTTTTGGGAAGATGGAGAGTGCATGATTTCGTATCTTTGTCAATATCAAACCTAGGAGCCGGTTTGAAATAGCTGCAAAGAAAAAACAATGATATGAAATTATGAATTTATGATGAAAGTTGAAATAACATCAAATTACTAAGCATATAACTAAACACAATGGTGATATACCGGTCAGAAGGTAGCCTTGAGCAATAAAAGAAAAGCAATGATACACTAGATTTCATATTAACAATTGCTCCTGTAGATTCAACTCTGTAAGAATATTCATCATATAATTCACTGTCAAGGGATGAACATGGTTGAGAAGCATGACGTAAAGATTCCTTCCTCATTATCTCTCCACTAGCCAGATAATTATTCATACGAGCGAGGGTAGAACTGTCTCCACTAAGAAATTAACAAAACAGATTAAGTGTTAGTGAACTTGGTTAGACAACAAATGTTTCCAATTACATACTCAAATTACACTTTCCTATAATGAAGACATGCAATAGCTTTTGAAGCAGAAATAACTTTTCTTCTTTGTATAGGTCAAGTCTACCAGTATTGAGAAGTTATCATTCAAGAACATCATTGAAAAAGTAGAAAATTTAAAAATGTACATACAAAAAAAACATTTCAATGAAAAATTGAGTGGAATTTGGAGAGTAACTAAAGAAAACATAATGAAGTTTAAATTAGAGAGTAGAGACACAAACTCACCTTCTCACCATCAATATAAAATCAGAGTTTTGCATACGAGCACGACCTCGTGACTGGATAAAGCTACAAACTGTTGTGGAGGGATCAAATCTTATTACGAGGTTGCAATTTTGAACATCAAGACCCTCTTCAAGAATAGAAGTTGCAACAATAATATTCACCTACATAAAAAATAGGAATACATTTAGGAATTCAAAATATAGAAGATATATATTCACCTATATATATATATATATATATATATATATGGAGCGGTTCCGGTAAGAACGGATCTTAGGAGAGAAATGAGAACGAATCTGGAACGTTGGATTGAATTATGTGGAATTGAATTGTGCATTTGGTGAAACCGAGATGTGCATTAGATGATATTGAAATGTGCTGAATAAAAATTTAAACTCACATGTGCATCAGGTGAAACTGAAATGTGCAGAATAAAAGGTACAAAAATAACATCACACCGTACCTTTTATTCTGCACATTTTAGTTACATCTAGTACACATTTCAAATTCACCTAATGCACAATTCAGCTTCACATAATGCCACTACATCGTACCTTTGTGCTGCACATTTCAATTTCACTTAATACACATTACAATTTCATCTAATGCACATTGAATTTCACATAAAACAAATCTAACGGTTCAGATTCATTCCCATTTCTCTCATAAGATCATGTTCTTATTTGATCCCAAACCTATATATATATATATATATATATATATATATATATATATATATATATATATATATACATATATGTAGAGAGAGAGAGAGAGATTTTGGTTCAAATGAGAACAAGTCTTAACGTGAGAACGTGAGAACACATCTCAACCATCCGTTGACAACTTCCGATCTGCGCTCAACTTAAGTAAAAGAAGGGTATTAACGTATTTTAATCTTAAGCAGTATTGTAACCGTCGTTTGTAGTTAATATATTCATCTTATCCACTACTTGAAACGTTAAATTTCATATAATAATAAATAAGGTATTTTATTTGTCACATACTCACGGAAGTGACTTTCCCATTTAGAGAACTTTTTCAATGTTTTTATGGAAAGTTAAATAAAGAAAAGAAAAGAAATTATCATTCACTTCTTTCATTTTTGCTTCATCTTGTCTTCATTTTGATGTTCGTTATTCTTATTTTGCCTCTTCTTATTGGTTTTCATTTTCTAATCACTACTACATCAATTTTATATTTCTCATCTCTAATTATCATAATTCATAATATCTTAATCACTACTACATTAATCTGGTGCAAATGACTATAACTTACCGGAATCCTCATCTAAAAAAACTAACGCTACACCTTATGCACAATTCAAGCACTATCACACAACTATGTCATTCAAATGCACAATTACACTTATTTTTCACTCTGTGCACATGATTGAGTATCAGTTGCACATTCATGGTTTCGATATGTTTAATATACTTTATGCCTTAACATTTGCATATTTTGTTCACTCATATGCATTTGTACAATTCACTACTACACTATTGTGTTACATAAATACACTATTTGGGATTGTGCGTTAGATACCAGTTCTTATGCATTATGTATTGATTTAGTTATCTATGTCCACACCAAGTGTTAAATACGAGTTCTCTATTGTATATATGTATTGTGTTGTACATACTAGTTCATGTGTATTATATAATAGTTAAAAACTTAAAATTGTATGAAATCCTTATGGATTCGATATTAGTTCTCAATTGTTGTGCATTAAATACTGCATTTTGTGATTGAAATACTTCTTCCGGTGCTTTATATACAAACTATGTGTGAAATACTACTTCTCGTGTGCATTAGAGATTGAGTGTTGTGTATTAGATACATGTTCTTGTGTGTGTGATAGATGGAGATAGTTGTAGTGATTTATTGTATACATAGTATACCTATTTTTAAAAAACAAAATTACATATGCAATATTGGTGTCAAACGAAAGATAACAAAAAATGATTTAATTTGATAATATTTTTTTCTAAATTGGATTATAATTTAAAAGGTTAAATCATTTTTAAACTAAAGACATTTTATATAATTTGGCTTTTTATTTTTACGTACTTTTTGGAAACGAGGAGGCCTACAATGATTACAACATTAAATGATTTCTCTAGAATTACTTTAATAACCTTTCTTAGTTCCACGTCCTTATTCCGTTTTGTACGAGACATGCTGTTATGCGGTGATGTCCATCTTTCCATCATGAACCAATTACTTAATGGCCGATCATTTAACGAGATGGTGGGTTAAGATGTGTTCTCATTTCTCACAATAAGGAGTGTTCTCATTAGAATATATATATATATATATATATATATATATAGGTTTTGGTTCAAATAAGAACACGATCTTATGAGAGAAATGAGAACGAATCTGGACCGTTAGATTTGCTTCAAGTGAAATTCAGTGTGCATTAGATAAAACTGTAATGTGCATTAGGTGAAATTGAAATGTGCATCACAAATGGTACGATAGAGTGGCATTATGTGCAGTTGAATTGTGCAATACGTGAAATTGAAATGTGCACTAGGTGAAGCTGAAATGTGCAGAATAAAAAGTACGATGTGATGTTATTTTTGCACTTTGTTTTCGCACATATCAGTTTAATCTAATGCAAACTTGAGTTTAAATTTTTATTTTTCACATTTCAATATCATTTAATGCACATTTCAGTTTCACCAAATACACAATTTGGTTCCACATAATACAATCCAACGGTCCAGATTCATTTTCATTTTTCTCCTAAGATCTGTTCTTACCGGAACCGCTCCCTATATATATATATGTCACTCCGTATTTAAATAGAGAATAAATGAACCATGAATAATCACTAACCATTCCTTTACGAAATTCTTCAACAATATCATTTTGAACTCTTCTACTTTGCGACTGCAACACAGAGGCATTTCCTGCTGTGTATTTTGTGTGCCATCCACTTAAATCCGTAAACATTTGATTTAATAGAGTTCGAAGAACAATTGCTGTTATAACCCTCTCAACAAATATAATACATCTCAAGTCCTTTATGTTCCTGTAAAAAATAGAGCATATTGATTTTTCTTTATTGACACTGATTTTAGTACTCTTAAAATCAATAGAAAGCTAGATGGTTTCACATTGGTACCTGTAATCAAGAAGAGTCTCTATTAGAGAAACAACTTTTGAAGTAAGATATCCAGCATCCTTACTGGTTCCTAGATCATTATCAATGTTGCACAATTGTGCGCCTATGTCTGGAGTACATGAACAATGGAAACCAATCATGAAACTCAAGAATAACATCCAACATGTTTTTCTACTTTTATTCCTCTCACTATTAAGGCAATGACACTTTTGGTAATTCTCTTTGAATTATTTTACCTTTAGTATGATACTCTTTTAAAAGAGACATTTTCTGATCAGTGGTGGATCCAACAACTGAATGAGTGTTCAGAGTTATTTTGTAATTAAAATTATGCACAATAATATTATTTGATGAAACAATTCTACACATACATCTTTCCAATAACAAAAAACTGGTGAATGAAGTAAAGATAAAGAAGTATTACACTAGATAGTAACATATAATAAATTCTTGAATCAATTTTATACATGTACTTTTGCACTTTTAATCTAAACTCTTGGGTGTTCACATGAACACTTGAGAACATGCATAGCTCTGCCAATATTCTGGTTTACGCTTTTGAATTTTTATACTTTTAATCCTTGAGCTATTGTGAGAGTGGACTCATCGCGCTTGTTTTTCAATTTAGCCATAATAGTTCTTAATTCAAAAGTGTCATTGTTACCATTGTTGAAGGCTAAGAACACCAAAGTCACTATAGCCAGAGGAACAAAGTGAAATATCATGGGGGGAACAAGTGTAGCCTATGTTTAGAGAGTATGATTCATGGGGATATATATAGATTAGTAAAAGGTCGGAAGATTCAAATATCATATGTAAAATGGATAAGAAAATTTAGCTAAAAGTTACGGGAACATGAGAATTACCCGAAGGTAAATGAGTTGAGAAGATCTTAGCTACATCTAAACAAAAATCTCTCACAATGGTTTCAGCATTCTCATCCGAATTTCCCCATGATAAGATGTCTTTATTATCTAATGACATAGACTCCGCTGCCTAAATGAATCATATAACAAATGCGTACCGTCAAGCGTATACACAATAATATAAAATAAAGTGGAAGAAGTAGAAGTTTTACCTTCAATGCCAAGTAAACACCTAATTCAGTCAAACAAAACAAGAAGGTTGCTGATAGTTTTGTCAATCTTCTAATTGTAGATTGCACATCGGACTCCGATAGATCTGAATGGGTTATATGTTGCTCACGCTGAAAACATGAACAAATTATTAACAAACAATATTCTTTTCACATAAAAAAGGAGAAGCGAATAGACAAAATTACTCTATGCTTGCATTTCAAAAGAATATATAAATACCTGAGCTTTCAATGCGTGTAAGTCCTTCACTATGCTTTCAAGCATTGAAGCGGGAATATGAGCATCTTCGTATGTCTTAACCTTTGCAGCGGCGAAACGGATGTGTTGAGCTAAAACAGCTTCACTAGCACATGTATACACCTTCATAAACAAAATGGAAGTTATAATATACAAAATTGAATTCATATGGTGTATATATGATGGAAGTATGAACCAGTTGACTATAAAAAGAAAATATACTACTGTAACTTTAAGTAAAACACAAATTTCGATGTGTATAATTATTATAGTTTTGTGCTAAAGATGTAAAACTCTTATGATGTGATCATTCTTGACCAAATCATAGGGTTTTTACCTCCACCCCACAATCCACACACACATATAACATGGAGGAATCTTATAAGCCATGCAAAAAAGAAGAGTATTTGTTCCACACTTGATGGGTATATATGGTAATAAAATACTCCATCCGTCCCTTAAAACTTTGTTTCTACGGAAACTTTGTTGGTATAAGGAATCTTTCCTTTTTTGATTATCCAAAAAACTTGACATTTTCCCCTTTAATCAACCTATTTATGGTTCCTATAATTTCTCCCTCCTCTAAGCAAACAACAACCACACGGTTTTTACTTTATTAATCCCCGTGCCGGTCAAGCTTGGCAAAGTTTTGAGGGACAGAAATATACTATATAAGATTTTGGACTCCTCTTATAAGATTAACCTTTTTGGATGGAATTCAGGTCTTAACATGATATATCAAAGCCAGATCAGGTTGTGGTTTGATTATTGTTTAGTACTCATCATGGGCGGATCGGGGCAAGGGGGGCAGCTGCCCCCACTCAACACCCACCCGACCCCTATATATATCAAATTTAAAATTTTGTGTGAAGATATGTATTAAATATAAGTAACTTATACAATGTAAATGACTTTAACAATCACAAAGAGCTGTGGTTGAGTGAAACTTGTTGTGGGGCCTGTCCTGGGTTTCGTAATTGGTCTAGAGTTCGATTCTCAACTTCAACCACCTATTTTCTTCCTAGCTTTAGGATGTTTTCTTTTGGACTGAAATTTGCTGGTTTGGTCTGATCTGGTCTATTAACGTTTGGTCTCTGTGTATTTTATAACTACGGAAGTTTGGTCTGTTTTCTTTTGGACTGAAAACAGTCCAAAAGAAAACATCCTTACTTTTACATTTTGAAGCTCTAAACTAATTTAAAGTTACTTTTAACATTCTATTTAAATTTTGGCTTGTTTGAACCACTTCAATATAATTACAATTACATTTTTTACTTATAATTGTGACGTTTAACAATTACAACATTTAATATAAATTGATTTTTAAATATACTTGTGCATTCGCAACTTAAGTTAACTCTAAATAAATATTTGATTCATTTCTTTATTTGATTCTTATTGCGAACATAATTTTGAATAAATTACAAACTACTCCGTATGTGATTATTTTTTTTAGCAAAGTAAAAATCTATCTGTCATGACATTTTTAAGTATGATATCGTAATATTTTTGTCCCACGAATAATTTTTTATTTTTAATTGATTTTAAACTATATTTTATTAATGTGGTCGTTGTTTATGACGTGTGAGATAGTTAATGCACGTACGCCCCCACTCACCCAAAATTTTGGATATATACGCCACTGGTACTCATGATTAAGGACAACTCATTAAGAGTTTGCTTGACTCATTTATATACTCCAATGTTGTCTACTTACAGTTGACCAATGGGTAAGTACTTTTGATTTTGAATCACCTAGCAAAAAAGCCTATCTACTTTATGTTTAGAATCTCGTTTGAAATCTTATAAAGGCATTTTCTATTTAATCCTTTTTTCCCCAGTTCAAATCCGGGTGTCGCTTGATTATAAAGAATTTCAAATATCTTGTTGTTCATAGGATTCCTATAAAGGAAAAGGAGGGACTAAAGAAACAAGAACAACAACTACTAATTCATCAGCTAAAATATTACCAAAAAGCCGAAAACTAAGTGATAAAGGCTTTGTAGAAATCTATTTATCTACTTTTTTTATTATCAAAAGAGACGTATTATCCATTTTATTTTTCAAATGAGTAATAATTGATTGATTTGAGGTAAAAAGAATATTTGATGGATCTATCAAAGTGGCATCGCAGATTCTTTCTTAATGGAAACTTGTGATTTTAGTAAAAAATTGGGCCGAATTTAATTGCAATACAGAAGAGAAGGGGTTAGTGATTGCTTGAACTCCCTCTACCCATCCCTTAGGGGACTGAGGGGGTGTGTTAAAAAGTTTTTTTTTACACCAGATTGGTATAAAATAATAAAACACTATATAAGATCTTAAGCTACACTTCATATAAGGTTCACTTTTAGAATGAAACTCCCAGATTTTAACATATTTGATGGAGTAAAAAGTATTGTGCATAACATGTGTCATACATTACCCTTAAAAAGATCATTGTTTCAGTCAAGTAACTTATGACAGTTCATGTTAGGGAAATTGCCCTAAATAGGAGTAAACAACTTTGGGAATTCCAAAATATGACTACTATGTTTTCCTTCCCAAAATAGGACTTGTTATTGTCATGATTGAAAAATATGGTCATGATTGAATAATAATGTCATTAATTATAACAAATATTGTCATGTTGAATGCATAATACTGCATAACAGTCGTATTTTAATTTGGAATTCCAACCCCTATTTAGTCCCATTTTGGGAAATCTCCCTTCAGGTTATTAGTCGCCCCATAACTTTTCTTACTTGGAGACCATGTTATGTATCAAATAATTTTGTCTTTGTCAAGTACTTTACACCACAATGTACATTTTAGATACCATACCCTCATTTCTTAGTAAGATAAAGTAATACTTTTAAAAAAACTTAGGTGTAAATGAGTTTCGGGTTCATAGGAAACTTAGGGTTGGTTTGCAACTACTTTTAAAAAAGCACTTCTCAGCTTTTGGTTTTAAAAAAACACTTATTTTCCCAAACACTACAACATTTATTTTTCTCGGCTTCCGCGACAAAAGTGCTTTTACTTTTTCTATTACACAAAAAGCACTTATTTTACCAAACACTACCCACTTTTACTTTTCAAAATCACTTTTTTCTCAAACACTATCAACTCTTATTTAATCACTTCTCCCCATTTCATTAAAAAAAGCACTTTTTTAAAAGTAGAAGTTGTTGCAAACAGACCCTTAGGTGCATAGGAAATGGATCTCGTGGGGAGTTCTGTTGGGAGGTCTTCTGGCCGCGTTCTGTCCGTTACAGCAATAAATGCCCAACGTTCTTATCTTTTAATGCAGCGTTAAATGGACAGTTCATGGACGATTCAATGCCCAACGGACTGGTCATTGATGCCCAACGTTCAGGTCCATTAATTCACCATTTACACACAACAAATCCTCCTATATAATGGCTGACAGGTGGTTTGCAACAACACACGATCTTATACGTTCATACACATTCCTCACGTTTTTTGAGCTCGAAAAACACCTCCAGCATTCCGAAAATTTCCTAAGTGTTCATACTGTGTTCTCGTTCGCTGGAACTTTTGTTTGTGTGCTCAAACATTAGTTCGTAGTCATCGTATCCTGGGAAACGATTGTTGCAACGCTCCTAGCACCGTGGGAGGCAACAAATACGTTTTAAGGACATCGTGCGTAGCACGAGCTTTGACTAATTCTGCTCCATCTTATTTCTGTTTTCTTTCGTCATTTTAATTAATTTATTTTAATTAATTTTCTTTATTTTCCGAAACACACCCAACAGTAAGTAACTGGAATTAATAATCAAGGTCCAAAGATTAGGGCTAAAGATATATAGATCAAGATACATTAATTAAATGAACTCAATTGTCCTTACTTTTTCTACTTTTTATCTCCCCTTTCATATTTTCCCACATTCTCTCTTACTTTTTCTATACTATGCATTGCTCCTACTATTTGATCCTTAAATGTTGTGCATGCCCAAACCTATTGTAGAGAACTTTCAAATACCGAGGGAGTGTATGTTTGTATATACTCTTAAAATTTATTACTAGTACTATTTAAAATTCATGACATAACGAAGTTAAATGATTAATAATAATATAATTTTAAATATAACGATTCTATCATTGATATATATTAACAAACACATACATTCAAACACAATATTACTTATTATATGTATGCAAAAATATTTATAAAATTTCACATAGGCGCTAGGCACGAGACTGGGGCCGACTAGTTCCTAGAGCATTTTAGAACATTGTTTCATACAGTATAAATTACGACACTGAAAGAAAATTTTCACTAAAGTTTTGAGGGCCAAATGATGTTGTTGCCAGATTTTTTTGTTGGAAATCTTTCAATATATATATTGCGGCACAAAAATTGTGGCCAATTAATCTCACATTATTGCAAGTATGACGAAGAAACGAGTAAATTATAATTATGCTAATTTTTCTCTACAATTCAATGAGTTTGAGAGAATAATGTGAATTATTACTATAAATTATGCTTTATTTAAGAGTTCATTATTTATTGTTATAACTATATTAGTTCAGTTCAAATTATACTTGGATAAAGAATATTTCAATATAAGTGAAACATTAAATGTCACTGCAAGTGACTAATTATGGTCACAAACAGTTAAAGTGTCATAAAAACATAAGTTCTTATATGACAAATTTCTTCATAGAGCTAAAGCGTCACTACACTTAAATGATCGGATTTAACTTGTCGTAAAAAATTGACTTCGGGTAGAAATAATTTGCATAATCTTATTATAAAGTTCTTTTTTTGGTTGAGCTTCCTAACTTATTACTTCGTACAATATATGTTCTA